ACCTAAAAATGGATATGTCTTCTGGGTTTTCATGGAGAAACTGGGGTGGAAGGGAATGACCTCAGTGGATTTACATGGGTTACACATGGATTTGGGGAGAAATAGTGGGGAAATGGTATGATGTGGGTGGGAGAAAGGTTTAGTTGAAAATGTTTTTGTAGGGCAAAACCCCCAAAATTCACCTTTTTCGGATGGGGTTTTGGTGTCCACCATGGATCCTGGAAAAGAAAAAGGGGCAAAATGAGTTAATACATAATTTTTTCACTAGAGTTGAAAGTTACACCACTCAATTGGGATGATCCCATGGGGGTCCCACTCCCAAATTCTCCAGAATTTTGGGGTGAATTTCACAACCCTCCCTCCCTCCAGCCCGGTCAGAGTTTAATGCTCACCCCAACCTCCCCGACCCCACCCCACAAACACCCCCAGGACAAATTTCAAATTTATTCCCGCAAATCAGCAGGGATAAATTCCTGTGTGACTTCCTTGGAGAGAGCCAATAATGTCAGTGAAAACTCTGCCTTGCAGGGACAAGGAGCGGAATTCCAAGGAAAGGTCGGTGCTGGGAGTCCCTTTGTGTCACTGCTTTCAGCTCTGGTGATGAGGGGCAGGAAAAACAGATGGTGGGAGATTTCTTCCCATTTGTAACTTTGCGCATCCTGGACAGGTGTGTTTGTTTTGAGGTGGTTTGTTTTGCTTTTCCTCCTGATTTAAGATTTTATCATAACACATGGCTTTCATCTGCAGTGATATTGCTGGGAGGAACTGCAAAATTGCTAGAAATATTGCTAAATGCTGATTTTAAAGCTTATTTTTATTCACATCTGCTTGTCCTGGGACATGAATACTGAATGGATTGTGCAGATTCTGATGGCTGTTAAATACTGCTTTTCCTTTTCTCTGGACTGGACCAAACTTTCAGGTCAGGTAAGAGATCTGTAACATAAAATAAAACATTGCATAAATAGCTTGAATTAAAATAACTAGGTTTCTTTGAAATTTGGTTGTTTCTTTCTATCCACTGTGAGAAACTGCCTTGCTGGCCTCCTGTCCAKAGGTACCTGGGAAAGACACAACCTGAAAAATCACCCAAAATTCTGGGTGGGTTCCTGGGTGAGTATCCAACTTTTGGCTCCTGAAGGAGGCTCAGTCAAATGGCACCAATTCCATCTG